TTGCCGGCTGGGCTTGAACCACGACAGAGTTTAGCCAAGCTGTTTCCTCATTCCATTCTTTATGTATAGGAAAAGAAAGAGAAGATAAAGAGAATGGCTGGTGCAGCAGGAAAGTTGACCCAATGTGTGGCAGAAGCAAAGATGACTGGAAGCAGAAGCTACACTTTAGTGGTGACCTGCTGGAAAGGATCTAGTTGTGTAGTGTGGCCTCATTCACAAAGGGAAGATGTGTCTGGTTGCAGTGACAGCTGCCAAATAGAGTTGAGGGACATGGTAGGTGAGAGGAAGATTTACACCTGGTTGCATAGACAGGTAAAGACCTACTGTCACCTGCCAAAGAGCCATAGGGCTGGTCCTTAGACAAGGAGATGTATTTTTGAAATTACATGATCAGAAGGTTAAAAAAATAGTAGAAGGTGAAATATCACATGCCTGGAAAGAGTTTTACAGTAAAAAATGTGATACATAGAAGGATAAATGTATTAGGGGGAAAGAAAGACGAAATTTTGGTGCATACAGTAGTGAGGTTAACAACTGGCTAAACCTAATCTGGACAGGCAGCTGGGCTAGATTAGTAAGGAATGACCGAAGCATTTGTATATTGGCATAATAAGCTTTGTCAAACAAAAGCAGGATTCAAGTTCATGGTGCAAGGCAACAGATCCTTGAAAATACTACAAAAACTGTTGAATTAACAGTTCTGTCTGGTCATGTTATGTTGCTGAGAAAATATTTTTATGGATATGATTGTATATAAACCATCAAAAGCAAGTGACATCACTACTTAATAAGAGTGGTAGAAAGATATGCAATAATCTACTTGTGGACATAAAATTAAATCAGTAATTTGGCTAAATTTTCAGTAGAGACGATGTTGAGACAGCACGGTTGATCGGAGTGAGATTTTGGAAATAGAAATTGTCACTTGGGAGACAGAGCTAACCTGAGAGTCCTGCCTACACAGAATGAAGAAACTGGATAGTTTCTACGCCCACTTGGAAGAGCTGACATATAGAAGTACAAACAATAGGAGCACTGAATTTAAGAACTTTAAAAAAGATCCAGGTGGTATTGTATGTCCAGGAAAGCTAAGCAATGCAAACATTCCTGAAATCATCATGTGCGTGTTTAATCATCATGTGTCTGCTTAAACCAGACTTCCTGACTCACTACTTACCACATAATGTACGTGTACTTGATGATTTCAGGAATTAGGTTGTTTCTCTGTGCCGCGTTCTTAAAGAGAGATATTCTTTACATGCTGTCATGAAGAATGTGAAATGTCTTGCATGTTTGCTACAGCACAGGTGCTTGAAAACCTTCCTAATGAGACACAACAACATTTGCATGCTTAGCTTCACAGGAAGGCCATGTTTGTATGAATCATTAAACTGGAGGGATTCCATATCACACAACCCAATTAGGTGAGATGATTACTAGCACATTTAATTTGTGCTCTTCTGCTCATTAAGCAGCTCTCCTGCATCTATGGAAAAAGAAACATGTGTTTATGTCTGTATGTGCATGTATATTTATATCTGCAGAAAAATATCACTGTGATGTCCTACTTTCAGACAGTTCCATAAATTCTCAGAATACATTTACACTGAGGAATAAATCAAACTGTAAAACACAACCAAATTACTATGCACTGCATGAAGTATTGACTGAGAAATGCAACTACTCTAGCAACAGTAGTTTATGAAGCAAAACAACAGCAATTGTTCTGTGTCTCTGAGCAAAATTCTGCATTCTCTACTTCTGTATATTTTTTTTCATCACAGTGGGATTTCTTGTGTGAAAAAGATTGAGAAGTATTTGGTGTATTATTTCATTTGATTCAGGCAGATTAGCAGATCCTTCCAATGTGACTTCCTGTGGCTATGAAGATGGAGACCTCCTGTGTATATCTGTAAGAAGCTGGTGGTCCTGTAAGTATAAGCTATTACACTGTTCTTCAAAATATGATTAGTGTCTGAGAAGGCAGTTTAGAATCTTTCTTCCCCTTAGGCTTCTGTAGTACAAAATAATTTCAGTGCTACTTAATTCTCCATCAAAAACTTGCAGCAACTGTGAGTAAATGAAAATTAATTGACTTTGATAACTTATTTGAGGAAGGAAAAAAAATGTCAATTTGCAGCTTTAAATAGAATAGCACTGAAAAAATGCATGTAAAAATGTTTGAGAAACATCATGACAGGTATCTATATTTGTAGACTTTTGTAGAAATTAGAGTTTTCAATTACTCCAGAGAAGATTTATTAAGTTCAGATTCTAGTACTTCCAATTAAAACTTAGTGTGAGAATGTCAAGCAGGAATCTTTGTGATTCTTACATCACCCTCACTAATACAAATCTGACAGGGCTTTTCTGCCTTCAGTTGCGCTTTCACAACTTCACTGTGGTCAGGAGGCTATAGAGAATGAAATGAGGGAGATTTTGTGCCCATGATAGACGAATAACTTCATTATCTACATTACACTGACTTTTATCCAACAGCCTTTCAAGTATTCAGCTAAAACATAGTTGACACTTTGACCTGGTTTACACAAATTATTAGGCAATTTCTATTCACTTTAATATTGGCTTTGGAGTTCTAGAAGGTTAAAATTCTGTTAATTTTTTTTCATTATTCCAGTAAGTAACAACAAACTGAACACAGTGACAGAGAGAAGCATAAAAATCTGAGATGCCAATGCCCCAGACATTTTCAGCATTTTCTTCAGTACCTCTGAAAATACACATCCTGATAATTCAGTCTTCCCCAAAATTGAAACATCAGAAATACTTGGATACTTTTGATAATTCAAGCTTTTCATATATCGCCCTGTTGAACCGGAGGGATCAAGTTAATACTTTTTCTTTTAATCTGAGAGACACAAGAATTTCATTTGTAAAAATGTATATCATAGGTGTAATGGAAGAATGGGTCTATCCATTACACCCAAGCAGATTTCCATTGCAGGAAGCAGTGCCATCTTAGTGACGATGGTATCAAATTTGGAACCATCTTTGCACTAAGCAGTGCAGAGAAAAGGCAAAGTGACAAACTCTATTGAAGGACCAGCTGTGAGCTAACTCAGCTGTATTTGCTGTTGGTATCACTCCTGGTAGATGTGGCAGAACCCCTTATCCTCCTACGAGACATAAAGGTAGGTCCACTGCCAGGATCATGGGAGAAATAATAGTGTGTGAGACACATTTTTTTAACCAGGTTTTTACATAGAAAGGAAAAAAAAACAGTTATATCTAATTCTAGCTAAGAGCTTTGCAGAAGAGTAAAGGAAGGAATCTTGAATGCCACATGCAACTCAAGGATATCCATTTATTGTTGCACAGGGCAGCCCAGTGAACACTTGTAGCACCAGCAGAAAAAGCACTGATACTACAGCGCTCTCTGTCTCAAGTGCAAGCACATGTGTAGCCTGTTTCCTTCTGGTATTTTTAGAGCCAGTGTCTGTATGGAAACAGATTCCTCAGACAAAAATGGATAGCTAGATTTCCATAGAGTTTCCATAGAGAGACAAAGGGATTTCTTTTCCGAGCCCATGCAAAAAACATAAACCACTGTTATATTTTCTCATATGATTAATGAAATTTAATTCATTTTCCCACATAAATCGAAGAACATATCCCAGTGAGGCCAAATAAAATCTCTTAAACAATGTTTTTGTTTCCATTTTTCAAAAGATGAACAAACACATTATTTAAAAAAAAAAAAAAAGAAAAATCTCTTTTTCTCTGATCTGAGTCAAAGTCAGTATTTTTAGAGACTTTTTTTTCTGAAACTGGGACTTTAACTCTTTTAGAAAGTTTACCTTCTATTTAAAATAAATTGAACTGACAGATAGGGTAGGGAGAAGAAAGACAACACCAATGTATGGATTACAATCACTGCAATAAAATAACAGAAAACTTCTGTTTGTTTTTTTGTTTTTAAGGAGGCAAAAGATCTTGAAAGCCCTCAAGTTTAAATATCCCTTTCCTTCCTCTGGAAGGGAAAGCCATACATTCTTTTTCCTGTAGTATATTTTACCTCCATCACTCTGTCCCTCGCTTCCTCAGCTTCCTTGCTGTCCTATCACAAGTCACCCTTTTCACCAGACCTGTTGGTAGGTTTCAGCGAACAGCTCTATCCTTTCCCTGACACACAAGCACTTTGTTGGGGAGACCCTTTGAATGAAGCTTCTGCCTGTGAGCTAGCAATTAAATGTATGTATCTTCAAGTAAACAAAGCTGTTAAGCATAGAGTAAATTAAAAACATAAATTTTAAATAAAACCAAAGCTCACTGTGATACTCACTCCAACTTCAGTTTCCTGCCTCTGTGGGTGGCTAGCAGTAGGTGCTTGATGGGAAGGCATCCCATGCAACGACAAATAACAAGGGGCATTGCATAGACCTGTGCAAGCAGGGGACCTTCCTGTAATAGAAGCCATTACCTTTACTTTTTTGGTGCTTGCATTTCTGCTGTTCACTTACTTCTAAACACTGCACATTTATTTGATTCCAATTTTGCTGCCTCTAGAAAATGTGTAAACTCAGACTTGATTTACCCTGCTGCAGTATGAACATGCAAAAAGTATTTCAGACTGCACAGAAATATCTCTCACTGTTCCAAGGATGTAAACGGTTTCAGCTGACCTTCAGGGCAGCCTTCTCTGGCCTGAGTACTCATATGAAGCCAGGAATGAGCTTAAACCAGAAACTCACATTTAATACATCCCAAGTTGTATGGACACTCCCTGCTTGAGAACGTCAGTCCTTTTTGCCTGGTATAGTATTCAGTATAGTCCTCTCCTGAATTTTTTTTCTGCCTGCCCCCTCAGTTAACCCAAGCAGGCACAAATGTGTGATATATGCAAGCCCACTTAAAGGAATGTAAGTACTTTCTGAGCTGAAATCAAAGTTTCAACACTTCTCATGAACAAGAAGCTCGTGCAAGGCTATTAAAGGACAATATATAGATGAACATTACAAAAAATACTTAAATCAATACAGATATCATCATTAGTGTATTTCAGTACATATGTCCTACTGCTGAACATAGCTGAATCAGTGGCAATTTGAAACCATTGCATTTGGTATGGGAGAGTGTTCATTTTTCTATGCAGGAATTTTTCATTTGCTTGAGGTTCACACCTCCTCCTTTTTAATTACTATTACAGGTATGAATTACTACCTGGCTGTCATACCCTTTCTGGGGGCAGTGGAAGCTGGGCTTTTTGGGCAGCTGCAGTATGAGATTGAAATATTGCCACCAGAGGAACAAAGAGATGATTTCTGTTATAGTGTTGCTGACTGCCGGTCTCGCATTCCCGATCTCATGAATGCCTGGAAGGCCTATTTTGAAGTAAGTAATTTTAACTTGGTGTTTTGGGTTTGGGTTTTTTTCATATTTTCTGGGAAATTATACCAGAATGTTACCTTTTAAAACTATTATTACTGTTATTTGTAAGATCCAGAGAGCTTAGTTTGCTTTCAGTAACAGCTTGCTATAAAAGTAACAAGCAGAAAAAAAGAAAAGCATAACATAAAGTGAGTGAGAGATAAGAAGGCCAGTTTTTTTACAGGTTATGAATTTTTTCCTTTCTTTAAGATGATTCTGTGCTTTGGACATTGTCCCAAGAGGCTGTTTTGTTAACAGCTATATTTGTATTCTTCCAATAGTTCTTATATTAGCAATGCAAATAAGCGTGCAAGATAGAACATTACCCTTGAGAAATGGCCTTATGTTGGTTTTATAGGGTTCATTTATTCTCTTGAATATCTAAAAAACATGAAAATGCTGAAACTTCATTCAGAAGGACACATTTATGCAAGCAGATATTTTCTTTCCTCCTCATTCAGCTATTCCCAAATCCCTAAGATGACAATATTTCTTAATTCATAGATTCAATAACTATTTTTACACATAGACTTCTATATTCAACATTTTTGTTAGCAGTCAAATAATTGATAAAGATAAGGAAATTTAAACCCTAAGTCCCTCTTGGGAACCATGAGTGAAGGTAGAGGTTCTTGGAGCAAGATTTGATTTGCTTTCTTAAGATTAATTTTCCTAAGCAGTATCTTTCAGAAGTTATTATAAGAAAGAGATCTACTTCTCAAATAGCAATAACGATAACCGTTAAGGATCTTTTTCTTATTTTCTGAAAATTTTCAGAAAGTTGTGGCTGAAAGAGCACAAACAAGGTTTCAAGGAATCCAATACTTTAGCACAGAAACTTCCATGGCACTCAGATACAAAAGTCCACTGAATTACTGTGACAAAGTACCTAAACTATGCGGATAAAATCCTCACTCTATTGAAGTCAAAGAACAGCAACTCCCATTGACTTCATCTTCATTCATATTAATCACATTTCTGTCCCTATGTCAGACATAGTCATTTACAAAGCAGCACAATCTAACTACTCAAAAGCAATTTCCCTTAGCTTACAAACTTACTATTTTGTAAGGCGTATGTGTATGTCTAAAAAATTAATTAATTTTAAACCTCTATTTTTTTCTGCCTTTTTTCGTCCCTGCAGTATCTGTTATCTACAGAACACAAAGCAACGAGCCCTGCAACCTTCTCGTCCTTCAAACTGGACGATGCTCTCTCTCTCATGTGGAGGGCACATGTTGCCTCCATTGCTTATGCGCGGCCCAAGTTCCACGACAGGTATGGGGATGAGAGATGTGGCCAAGGGGGATCTTCCTACCTGCATGCCTCTTTGGAAGGATAGTGTCCCAAAAAAGTCCACATGATCTTTCTTGCTTTAGGCCTCTACTCTTTAGGCTCTGCTCTCCCTTCTGCTCCTTTAGAGCATGAGAGGACCAGAAAGAGATGGCTGCTGGGGCTGTGATGTGTGGGCAGGCTGTGGGCTTAAAATGAGATGCTGATTCTTCTCTGGGAGCCAGGGCCCAAGATAAGAGCTGTATTTAGTTTGGGCAGAGGCAGCGATGCCAGGATAAATTAGGCATCTAATTTATGTTCTACAGGCCATGTGAATTATCTGTAACACTTTTATTTTGATCTCTTTCAGCTTAAAATATCTCTCTGATCCAGAAGCAAATTTTGGTGAAGACTGGGCTAATGCTGTAGATTTCATTGCAGCCACACACTTCTCTACAGATTTACTGACCACAAACAACTTTCAGGTTTTCCTGCCCCAGAGGATGCTTGTTGTAGGGGATGTCATCCCATTCATTTGTGACTTCAGTCCACAGCAAAATAGCGTCCTGCTTTCACTGAGTGTTCTTTACAAAACAAATAAATTAACAGGTATGATTCCAACCTACAAATGTTTGTATTCCATAGATATTCAGTAACTTGTTCTCTCTTTCTATACCTTTCTCCATATGAATACGGTGATTTTTTATATAAAATAGTATAAACACTTTTATATAAACTTTTACATAAAGTCAGTATAAACTGACTTTTTACTGTTAGACACTAACAGTAAAACAGTACAGCTAAAAATACAACCATAAGTAAACAACACACTGGAGAGCAAATGCAACACTGACAATATGCAGCGAGGATTTCACACGAGACAAATGCATCATTTGTTGGAGCAGATGATCTCACTTTTTTTCTCCAGTTTTTACAGGGACTTTAAACCACAAATACTTTAGCTTTGTGTTTCACCAGCTAAATCTGAAACCATTAAAGCCGTAAATGAAGCTATTAGATCAGTTGGGGTCATTAAAAAAAAATGGGCAAAAGATCAAGAACAACAGTTTGTGTGCCCACAAATGTTCTTGTTTTGTCTTTTGGTTTTGTCTCAGTATTTAGATTAACAGAGAATATAACCTGTCCCAGCAAAACTGCATCTATTAGACAATGCCAGCTTCATCATGTTTACTAAAACAGGTTGTGCATCACCATCCAGCGGTGAGACACAGAATTACATTCTTCCCAGGTTTCGGTTCATTCATATGTATTGCTGCCTTGGATATTTCTGTTTGTCATTTGTGAAGGAAAGTTACTTTGAATCTTTAAATGAAAATACAATATAAAAAAACCACTGAAAAACTAGCTTCCGGAGCTATGGCTTTTTTTTTTTTTTTTGCCTTTTTTTTTTTGCTATTCTTTTTTTCTGCTCATACATTTCAGTGAAAAATCTCTCACTATTGTAGCTGAAAAGCCATATAATGAAGTTATTCAATGTTACAAAAGAGCATCCTCACTTCACAGAGTGCTACCCTCACACCTTCCACAGCAGAGGATTTCAGTACCTCTTAGGATGGGGCCAGTGTGGAATTTGATTTCATAATTCGGAGTTTGATTGCCCTTTATTTTCCTTTAGCTGCCTCTGCCAGTCCAGCTGGGACCTGTACTGAGATTGTGCTGTGCTGTCTCTAAAGATTCCTGACCCTTGGACAGCAAAAAACTTTAATTTTTGTGCTTTTCCCCTCACTAATATGGGAAAGCAGAACAGATCAGATGCCTTGTTACTCAAGACCTTTACTGCTGTCCTCACCTTTCCAGCAGTCCTCCTGCAGTCCTCCTAGGAAAGAGGACTGTTGCTGCCTTCTCATCTTAACTCCTCACCTCCCCTATGCAATACTGTGCAAATTCAGTTCTTCGCTGCTGTCAGTTTTATACAAAAGCATGTTTTGCAGAAGAATAAACTCCTCTTGGTTTTCTACTAGACTGTTTGGGGGTTTTTTTACCCTCAGATTCCCTCTGTGGGTTCTTTATCCCCCATAAAAATCAGCACTGAGAATAGTGGGAAGCAGGCAAACTGGTACTAATGCTGGACTGGTTAGGCACACTTCCTAGGGAGCCACTGCTTATTGCCTGTAAGAAAGTATTAGGATCATTTTGTTTCTTTATCTTGAGGGCTTAGGTGACAGAAAGTACAAATTCTTGGTTGTTTTAGAGTAAAAACAAAGATGTGCTTCACTATAACTACCAGGCTACTGCTTCATAAGCCTTGAAGCTACGAGCAGTTGCAGACCAAGACCTTAACATGCGTCTTCAATCATTTTGACTTGCAAGACCGGTGACAAGAGAGCAAGACCAGTTGTCCGTCAATACAAAGGATCCTGAGCTTAATAAACGGCCTGTGTCTCCCTACACATTTGTGGGCAGTTATTACCCCATTGGCACGCTCCATCTTTGTCTACATTTCACTATCCACAGGAGAGTGGTGGGTGTTTGTTGCTGGACAAATGCCCACACCCACCACTCTCCTGGGCTTCATACTTGTGTATGTGAGCTGCGTGTGCTCCGTGTTAATTTGACAATGTCATGTTGTGCTTCTTTTCAAGGAGGATTGCTGCTGAGTCTCTGGCAAAAGGCTATGTCTACTGAAGAAGGAAGAAAAATTGGCCAAAACCTGATTACAGACATGGTTTCAAGCCAGAAGTTTGACCTCCTGGGAATACATAATGTTTTGATAAGAGCTGGTTTGACAGCACCCAGGCTCTTGAGAAAAAGCAGTTCCAGCATTGAGTGATTTAATCTTTTAGCAGATATGTGTCTGGTAATACAGTCTTGGTAATTTCTTACAGCAGGATTTCCTGAGTAGTCATGTGTGCATCTCTCTCTTATTAAATCAATATTTTCATCCTTAATTTTCCTAATTAGCTCATTTGTTTAACTCAATTCTTTATAAATAAAAGGCCTCACAGAAAATCTTACTCTATTGGTTTTTTCGACTTTAAAAATAATGTATCATTATTGGAGACAAAAGTAAATAAAGGTAAATTATATTCTCTTTCAGACTGGGTTTTTCCCTGTATACAGGAGTCGCACCAGATATGTAATTACTCGAGTCCTTGATGGTCTAACAGATGATCATCAGAAACTTTTCTTTGACGTTCTAACACAAAACCAATGCCTCGACTGTTTTCCACCAAAGTTACTATTTTGCAGATGAGCAGCAATCAAATTTGAAGCTTTCAGTCTTTTCAGATTAAATACTGTAGTACAGACAGATTCCCTCAGTATGCTGCTTTGCAACAAGTGCATGCCTTATGAGGTGCTGTGGAGCCAGTCCTGAAGTAAATGGACTTATTCTCTGGCAGCTCTTACATGATTCTGGTATTTGATTCACTTCACTTACCTCAAGGAAACATTGATCTATCAATTTATTTATGTGATTATGTAGTCTGTATAGCCACAAGTTGCTTTTCCATTCCCTCACGTCTAGCCCTTCTTGTTGCAGTGTATCATACATTAGATTTGATTACCAAGGAAGAGATGCATTTGTACTATTTGCACTCCCAGCACCTGGCACACTCAAACCCAAATGCTAATCCTAGTCTTCTGTGTTGGGAATTAATTAGAATAACCTGGCATTCAGAGGTTGTTGGGAAGTGGGACAGGGGTCCTGCAGACAAGCAGGAAGGGGTTGAAGTATTTTTTTTAGGAAATCTGCTGACTTGGATCCTCTATCCTTAAAAAAACTTCCCCTAGAGAGCAGGCATGGCTGGAGCTCCCTTTCATTGGTGGAGAGCTGGGGATGGCCACTGCCTGCTGCATTCTGTTAGAGCATAGCCTACACTGCAGCATAGTTAAAAATAACATACAGCCTTAGATTTGTAAGTCAAAACAAGGGAAAGCAACATTGCTTTTCCACCATTTTAGGATTGACCCACACTTTTGGTTGCACCTATCATCTCAGTTGGTAAGTCTGTCACACACCCCTCACACAGAAGGAGAAAGGCATGCACCACTCACTCTTCTGCTGGAGCAGAGAGTTCTGTTGCATTCACATACCACATTTCCGTTGTAGCAATAGCCTTTCTGACATACATACAGCAGTCAGAAGTTTTCCATGGACTTTAGGGGTGAGATTTGGACTTTTTCCCCAGTGCCAGAGTGTCTGAGAGAAGCTCTCACAGCCCCAGTAGCAGACAAGCAAGGGTCCTTCCAGCAGGGCCCCTCTGGAAGGCACCTTCTGTGGCTGCCCTTCAGATCCCAGACAGCAGGAGAAACACCAGCTCCTCAGGAGTCTCCACACTTCCTGAATTATTAGCCACATATCAAGTAAATGAAATAAAAGAAAATTATTTGTCTTTCCCTGCCACTTTCCCAGTTTGATTAGTCCTTTCTCCCCAAATTTGCACCATACTTGCACTGGAAATTAAGAAATAATTACTGGCACATTGAGCAGTTAAACACTGTTCTGTCCTTTAACGTCCCAGGACAAGGGTTTTAATCATTCACTGTCATTTTATGGATAAACTCTTAATGTACCATCATTAGCTAACAATTTTCAAAGGAAATACATTAATGAGGTCTAAGAAAATATGGGAGTTTTTACCTTAATTACCTGGTTCATAGATCAGAGTAATTAGATTCCAACAGACTTTAGGCATAATGTAAAAGTAATTACCACAGCTGCCAGCTGTTAAGATATTAAGTTAGTTGTGTTCCAGAAAAGTTTGGAAAAAATTTTTTAGCTTTTCTGTGGTTAACTTCATCTAAGGTGTATTTTGAGAAAACAAAAAGAGCCATCAATACAAATAGGAAAGAAACAATTTATAAACTGCTGCACTTGAAGGGATATTTGTAAAACACATTTTTAAAAAGCAAGTATCTCCTTACCTGAATTTATGACAACATTAGGAAATACTTTAGTGTTTTGAAAAAGAACCATCTTTCTTATTGCAGCATCGAACACTTGTATATTTGAGACACTTTGTCCTAAACAGCATGCCAACCAGCCAGGTAAAGACTTTAGAAATCGGCCAGCAATTGCGCTTTGGAGGTTGAGGCACATATAGAAGTTTAGACAGAACAGAGGTGGTGGATTCTTACAAGCAGAACAAAACCAGACATCTTGAAACAGAATAGATGGATCCTAGGAAGAAAGTGTGGGCATCAGAAAAAAAGCAGAGAGAAAAGTATCAGCAGAAGGCTGACTGGGGCAAGAGCAGCAGCAGCAGCAAGGCAAAGGCAAGCCAATCCTTCCAGCAGCTGGCAGTCTGCACTTAGATCAGAGCAGTGCAGTTTAGAATTCCAGAGACTCGTAAATGGCTATCCTAGAAAATACAAAAACCCGACAAGAGACGGAAGCAGCTCATCAAAGACATGTAGTACTGCAAAGCACAAGAACACTCCCAGCACACAGGTGCATCAAAACAAGGTGGGAGGAAAATAAGAACAAAAGAAAAAAACAAAACAAAAAAAACCCAAAACAACCTGCCACTAATACATAATGTAGAGGCAAGAAAACGGTTTCTCTTTGGAAACTATCAGTTCTCATATGGTGTCACGTTGTTGAAAGTTAATGTGGTACAGGCACATCAAAGTGACAAAAGTTAGGAAAAGACTTGAGCAATCTTATGAGAGGTAGGAATAGTGGCATATGCATTAGGTGAAGAGAGAGCAAGAATAAACAGTGGCCTCTTATTGGGAGGAGTGTGGTAGATAAGCATTTGTTTGACATGTATTTAAACAAAAGAGCTTTTGGCATTTAAAGAAGAATGCAGGAAGAAGATTCTTCTTATCTTCCCAGGCACAAAGGCTGGATATATAAAAAATATGCATGTTGATCATCCAAACAGAAAATGCCATCTCACTAAGAGCTTAGGCACACATGGAGTGCTGCGGAAGCAGCTGCTCCTGAGCAGGCCTTCAGTGACAACACAGTGGAAATACTTTTTAGCATTAAAAGAGATAAGCCTTTAAGCTAACAAGCCTGTGTAAAAGCTTATGCCAATCTTTTGCAAAGCAAATATCTCATTATTTAAATACACTTGTATTCTCTTCAGGCATAGTGATCGTGGTCTGGGTTCAGCTTGAAAATGGCTTTCCCCTCTCAAATGCAGTATTCTTGAGCTTTAATGTCTGGGAATGATAACCAGATTCCTCAAGGATCGTGTTGGCATTATAGCTTTGTCAAACATGTATTAGCAAATAGTACAAAATCACTCTGGTCATCTGTATGGCATAAGAGAATAACAATACTTATTAAGTCTTAAACATCAACCTTTTACTAGGATATTACTTCATGCCTCCTTCCTCCCCTCTGCTTTCTGCAGCAAGACTGGATGTTCTTTCCTCATAGCACAGCACCATGATCTCTCTTTCATGCCAAGAACCTAATACAAATGCCACTGCCTCTCTGCATCATGTAAACTTACTAGCCACGCTAGTTCTCATTTCTGTGATAGGATATGATGTTGGCACATGTGCCTAAGGAAAAGATACCAGAGACATCTCTGCTACTAATATATTTAAAAGGTTCATAAAGTCTGCCACCTTTACTCAGATGAATACTACTCATTGAACTCAAGGAGGCTGAATATACAAGACCAGATTGTTGCACATGACCAGGGTGTCAGATCCAGACTTCTTATGTGACAGGATCTACTCTATCCATTCAGCTGGGATAGAGTTAATTTTCTTCCTAGTGGCTGGTGCAGTGCTGTGTTTTAGCTTTGGTCTGAGAACAATGCTGATAACACACTGATGTTTTAGTTGTTGCTAAGTAGCACTTACCCTGATCAAAGACTTTTCAATCTCTCATGTTTTGCCAATGAGGAGGGGCACAAGAAGCCTGGAGGAAGCAGAGACAGGACACCTGACCCAAACTAGCCACAGGGGTATTCCATACTAGAGCATTTTATGCCAAGTATATAAAGTGGGGGGATTTACCTAGAAGGGACTGGATCACTGCTCAGGTCAGGCTGGGCATCCATCAGCAGGTGGTGAGCAATTGTATTGTGCATCACCTGAGGTTTTTTGGGGGTGAGGTTATTCCTCCCTCTCTTTCTATTTTATTTCCTATTATTATTGTTGTTGATATTGTATTATTACATTCTACTTTTATTTCAATTATTAAATTATTCTTATCTCATGGGCTTTTGCCTTTCTTCTGATTCCCCTCCCCATCCCACTGAGCAGGGTAGAGGATTGAGCAAGTGGCTGCAATGTACTTAGTTGCTGGCTGGACTTAAACCATAACAGACATGGCTTCTATGGAAGGATTTTAAGGGGAAGAAATTATAAAAACGCATTAGAAGTCTGGGTATTGTCCACAGACTAAATCCCATATACTTTGGGAACATCTGAAAGAAGCTTAATATTTGTTGGGAAAGTAACTGTTGGAAAAGTAACTGCTGGAAAAGTAACTGCAGGAAAAGTAACTGCATCCTATCCAATTCACACCCATCCTAACACCTAGAGCAACTAACGAGCACCTTCTTTTTACTAGGCTCTCTCAGCATCTCCTTGTATTTCAGATGCTCCGAGTCCTCAACAAAGTGCCCTTTGTTGGACTCACTCCAGTATGTCCACATCCATTTGTACTGGGGGCCCCAGAACTGGATAGAGTGATTTGGATGTGGCCTTTTTAGTGCTGAGCAGACAGAAGGAGTCACGTCACTCAAGCTGATGGCACTGATCTGCCAGTGCAGCCCACAAGGCTTTCCCCTCCTTTCTAGCTGCAGAAGTC